GTCATGACATCTATATATATGTATTGTTCATCTATTCTCTTTTCTTTTCTTTTCTTTCTTCTTCTTTGATATATATATGCATGCCATATTATGTACTGGGGGTGATTCTTTAAGTTTAAGAAATAAACAAACGTTTATGTTCTACATATTCGAACCCATGATTTGCCCTTAAAAGAAGTATCCCAGGTCGAACTAGCTATGTCGGATCCTGTCGGATAGGTTTCAAATCCGTTGAGATACGGCTAATCGGATTCGGTCGGTTACTTTTTGTCGGATTCCGATGCTATCCACTGTTTTCCTCTGATATCCACCGGTCGGATTCATCGAGTTCCGACTAGATTCATATATTCGGAACTGGTCAGATCCGATCTCAAGATCTGTTCGCTTCCGATGGGATTCCGAGGAATCTAATGTCAAGAAATCGCCGGATTTTGCGGTTTCAAGTGACACCGGATTCCATGATAAAACCGATCAATCACTGGTATCGGAACTTGTCGGATTATATAAGAATGCAGAATACCCAGGCCGATCTCACACCATCGGATCCGATGGAAATTAGTCGGAAGTTGTCGGATGCTGGAAAGTGTCGGATTTTCAGAGTTCCGACAAGATCCCGGCCACTTCCGACACTTTCCAACATCCGACAACTTCCTGTCGGAATCCGATACCAAGGATTCCGACGAATTGCCATCGGATTCGATAAAACTCGATGATTTTTTCGATCGGATCCGACGCGATCCGACTGTCGGATTGCTCGTTCTGGGTATCCAGTATTATTTTCCACGTAGTCGGATTCATGAATTAGAATATATTCTGACAGATCAATCAGCTAATCATCTAATAAGATAGTTCTCTTTTTACAAATTTCCAACAACAAAATCAAGAATCTGGAAATCTGATTTCGCCCAGATTTCATTCACCGTTTTGTTCTGCCGATATCGATCTATATAATGAAGTCGCTACTTTAATATTTCGAATGAATTTCCAAAGTGTTGCTAAGATTAATTTTACTTCAAATGATTTGTTTTCCTTATACAATTATGTTTTCCATGCAATTGGATTCATGAATTAGAATATATTCTGACAGATCAATGAACTAATTTATTTATTTATTCGATATTCCTATTTTTACAAAATTCCAACAGCAAAATCAAAAATCTGGAAATCCGATTTTGTCCAGATTTCATTCACCGTTTTGTTTTACAGATATCGATCTATATAAGGAAGTCTCTACTTTAATATTTTGAATAAATTTCCAAAGTGTTGCTTAGATTAATTTTACTTCAAATGACTTATTTCCTTATACAATTATGTTTTCCACTCAGCGGATTTATGAATTAGTATAATTTGACAGATCAATCAACTAATTAATTAATTTATTAGATATTCCTATTTTTACAAAATTTCAACAACAAAATCAAAAATCTGGAAATCCGATTTTGTCCAGATTTCATTCACCGTTTTGTTTTACAGGTATCGATCTATATAAGGAACTCTCTACTTTCATGTGTCAAGTGAATTCTGCCATTTTGTGTAACTAAGTTCTATATATTAGGAACAATCTTAGTGCAAGCATTGTTCAATTTTAAGAAGGATCGTAGTATATACATTGTTAGATTCTAGCAATAATCCAGGTTGAAACAGTTGAAATCCTTTAGACTCTTGATGACATCCTGATGCAATCTTTAGAAATTTTGCTAACATCCTTGTGAAATCTGTTCAAAACATCGATTCAATCTTTGGAAAATCTTTAGAATTCTTGATGAAATCCTTGGGAAATCTTCGTGAAATCTTCAGAAATCTCGACAAAATCCTTGAGAAATTTTTATAAATCTTGATGAAATCCTTAGGAAATCTTCAGAAATTTGGATGAAATCCTGGACAAGCATTTAGAAATCTTGATGAAATCCTTGGGAAATCTTCATAAATCTTGATGAAATCTTTGCGAAATCTTCAGAAGTCTCGATGAAATCTTTGTGAAATCTTCAGAAATCTTGACGAAATCCTTGAGAAATCTTTATAAATCTTGATGAAATCCTTGGGAAATCTTCAGGAATCTCGATGAAATGCTGGGGAAATCTTTAGAAGTCTCGATGAAATCCTTGAGAAATCTTTAGAAATCTTGAGGAAAATTGGATGAAATTGTCAGAAATCGCTAGTAAATCTTTGGAAATTTTGAGAATGCTAGAATGAAATCTGTGTGAAATGTTGATTGAATCCTTGTGCAATCGAAACAGATTCAGCCAACTTCTGATGAAATCCGACTGTATTCTGTCGGAGTCTTACGTTATCTGGCGTTTCTCTGTGAAAGGATCCTGGTGGTTACGGCATTATCTGACAAACAGTTCCGACAGGATCCGATCGGATCCTTTCCGACGTAATCCGGTCCGGAATCCGTTAGTTAGGAATCCTGTGAAATACGGTTGGGTTCCGATCGGATTTAGTTGGGAACCCGACGAATTCCGGTGTGATCCGACATCGGATCCGATAGTTTCCGGTAGGATCTACAGGTCGGATTGAATCACCTGGGATAATAAAAGTAGAACATAACAAGTGGTGACAGCGGTTATTAAGTACATATCAACGTTGGTTATTATTTATTGTAATTATTTCGGATTTTTGGGAACATCCTCTTCAAAGGATTGCACCTGCCGATTATATTCAATTTTTTAAACAGAATGTCAAAAAATACTCGCTCGAGTTTGGATTTACACGCAACTCCTATCTCCGAACTACAATACAAGTCTTCTCGTCAACAAATGAAAGATGAATTACAACTTGAACAAATTATTCATGATAAATTTACTAGACATTCAGACAATGGTGATGCTGAAAAGTGGCTATCCCAGACAGTTACACAATTTAAACAATATGAATTATCAACATCCGATCAACTTCAAGCTTTACCATATTTATTAGAAGATATAGCTTATCTGTGGTATGTAGAACATATGGATTTAATCACCAGTTTTGAATCATTTAATAAATTATTTCTTCAACAATTTTCATCTACATCATCAACAGTGCGAAGTAATACTCCCACTGAAACGGTTATGCCGTCAGTTGTTGCTTCTAGTTCTTTACTCACATCACATTTACAACGAACAATCACCGATGAAATTATAAAAAAACCAACATATTTTTCTGGTTCAAAAGATGATGTTCATGATTGGTTAGATAAACTGGAGCAACGTTTTAAAATGGCAAAGTGGAATAATGAAGAAAAATTACAGTATATTTCAGTACATTTACAAGATGATGCATATCGATGGTGGATACAATCATCTATGACGATTAAAACATGGTCATCATTTACTGAAGCTGTTAAACAAGCTTTTGGATCAACAAAAGTACAAGAATTAGCCTTTGAACAATTAAAATGGTATAAACAATCAGTTAATCAATCTATTGCTCAATATTATAATACAATTATAGAATTATGTATGAGAACTGATCCGAATATGTCTGATTCTATGAAGTTAAATTATCTAATAGGCGGTGTAAAAGAATCTTTAAAATTACATATTGCTTTATATGATCCACAAACAATTGAATCATTTTTATCATATGCAAGGAAAATAGAAGATACATTATCTTTTATTAAAAATGATTATACAGTGAATCAACATAATGAATCAGAAGATGTTAATACATGTCAACAATCATTATCACCAATAGCTACTCTTCACGACCAAATTGAACACGATGGACGCGAACATGTTCAACATGCACAACAAAAATTTTCTGATATAAATGGTGAGAATAATTCAAGTCATAAGCATTCTTTTAATTCTAGTCAGTCACGTTATGCAACATCAGAAAAGTCTTCAAGTATTTGCTATACATGTGGTACTCTTGGACATTATTCTCGGGACTGTACCCGTCGCCATTTCGAGCAACGGAAGCTACGCAAGATGGTGTTGCTTCCTGTTATATTAGTTCAAATCCATCTTCAAGTGAATCACCATTATTAGTTATCACAACACTTATTAATGATAAATATATGAAAGCTATGATAGATATGGGTACAACTCACACATTTATTTCAACGAAAACATTATTTAAAATACGTAATCAGCAATTTATTAATTCGATGCATCGTCAAGTATTTTTTATCCATGAAAATATACCTTTTCCTATTTATGGTGAAATGACCTTATCGATTAAAATGGGTGACATGTTGACTTCAATTCGAGCATTTATTATAAAAGAATTATGTGTTGATTGTATATTAGGTATGGATTTTATTAATAAATATAAATTACATATTAATCTGGAAGACCAAACAATGTCGATTGTTGATAAAATTAAACGATCAAAATTACATATTGATGTTAATGATGGGCAACTCCGTGTGCCGGTGCGCTTGGTCAACAATATTCGAATTCAACCAAAACAGACTGTTTTTGTTCCAGTCTCGGTTCCATTGTCATTATATAAAGTGTTATTTCGACCATCGTTTAATTTACAACAACAAACATGTTTAGCAATGTCAAGTTCATCAATATCTGTTAATGATTATACTTCTTTTATCTCTCTTTATAATCCGAAAAGTTATTCGCAAATGTTACCCAAAGGAATTATTTTGGGAACAACAACAATTTCTACATTACTATTGAAGAATATTTCTACTATTAACAAACAATCAATGTATAAAAATCCAAACAATTCATTTCATCCAAACTCGAAAGTAATGTTCGGCAAAATTAATAAAACTTATTCGAAACGTAATAGGCAACCGCTGGATACGGCGTCTGTTGCTGAAAAAATTTGTGACCAAATCGGTTCTATTTTTACATGTCCAAAAAACAAACCAACTATATACAAA